CAAGAGTATATCATCGAAAAGCCGTGCAGCGAGTGCCGGGAACGCAAGGAGCTATGCGGGTACAGCGGGTCAGTGGAAGCGCGATGAGGCGAGCCGCGTCTGTCAGGAATGTGTTGGAAAGCATGAACAAAGCAACCAACCATCCGTGGCAGCTGCCCACAGCCGCCTTCCACAGCAAATGGCAACGCAACAGGACGACGCTGCGACGCGTGTGTCTGAACTGCAATGAAAGGAAGCGAGAGCAAAAGTGTGGGGCGCTAAGAGAAGAAGCAGAGTTCAGTGCGGCTGCTTGGCGCGCGAGGAGGCTATGCCGACGCACGTGCAAGACCTGCGCTCGCACAGAGCGAGGCTCCTGGACACGCGCAAGCTGCGCCACGTTGCGACCAAAGAGGTGCTTTGCGCGAAACACCGACGTGGTACCCAGCACGGCGATCAGATATGCGACGCATGTCTGACGGAGCGCGACTTGAAACGAATAGCCCGTAGCAGCACGGTGCGACTCGCAAGAACACGCGCGAAACGAAAGCAGAGCATCCTAGCAGAGGTTTGGCGCCTGGTTGGAGAAATGCGAGGGAGGCCAAGCAGCAGCGACGACGCTTGCAGGAAAGAAGGGAAGGGCTAGCCCGGGACAGACTGCGAACGCAAGTCCTTCTCTGTGGGCAGGACTTTCGGCAACCTGGCACAATGCGCCAAAGCACCCTGCGAAACAGAAACCACCAAGAGATTGCCGGACAGGCGGGCGGCGCAGCTCTTGCCTTGTGCAGCGGTTTTGAATCGATCTGCATCTAGCAGAGAGTTATTGGCATTGTGAGGGCTTACGGCTTGCAGTATCTTGCCTTGTCATGCAGAGCAGAAATTCTCTCCCTGTCTTCTGGGAACGCACAGGCCGTATTGTTATGGAACATGGTCACGAAAAGCACTCATATTCTCTTTCTGTGGTGTGCGCTTGCAGAGGGCCTAGCAAACACCAACTCTGTGCCCACTCACTTTATATCACACCTTCGCTCCAACCTTCGGGTGTCTTCAAGTGGTAGCAATAGAGCACGCCACAGATCTGGCTGCTGATCTGGCTGGTTATCGTATTTGCCGTCTTCACAGCGGCCAGCCTGTATCTTCACGGTTGACCTCACGCATTTACAGTCGGCGTGGGCGACCTCGCGTGCATGTGGCCAGTGGGTATGCTCTTTTCCATGGCCGAAGGCATCTGGCTGACCACACGTTTGGGCCACAAAGCTGCCCAAAGAGGAGCTGCTCTACGCCAACAACCAAGCACATTCGCTAATGATTTGGTTATCGTCAGCTATCTTTCCGGTTATCGTTTAGGTGCCAGCGCTGAAACTGAATCGATTCAGGGTGTCACGAGCAGTTGCCAAAAGCCACCTTGGCTGCTATTTCCCCCCCCCCCCCCTGCCATGCAACAAGTACAACTTTGAAGTGGGTTTGGTGGAAAAAAGTCAAAGTCCTACAGCGCACTAAGTAGAATAAGTAGAAGCCCCTCTACGATGCAACAAGTACAGCTTTGAGACGGGTTTGGCGGAAACCCCACTGTTTTGCAAGCAGCAAAAACCCGACAACAGAAGCCACAAACGCCAAAGTAGAAAGCTCGCTGCAAGACCTCTCAGCGCTTGATATCCAGGCAAAGGCCGTGCAATATCGTTGTGGAAGAAACAGATATATCTCCATGCAGAAGCTATGTCGCAGTGTGGCTCACCGGACGCAGCTGGTATTCAATGATTATTTATCTTCAAAGCGTCGCTCACTGGACGCAGCTGGTACGCAAGAACTATTTATCTTCATGAGTTGGCTGCACATACCCCTGATGCCTCGAACTGTCGCTGTGGGCCCGGAAAATTTGGGAAAGTTTCCGGGCCCGCAGCGGTCGCCTCATTAACACCCTGTAGCCCTTCCAAAGCCCATTGCTTGCACAAAATGAGAAGCAATAGCGGTATCCTCAGCATCCTCAGCATGATGACAGTCTGCATCCAAGAAAAAGATGAGGACGATGACGAAGAAGGTCATGATGATGAGCGCCTTGATGATGACGGCGTGATCGAGAAAGCTGGTTGATCCTGCCAGTAGTCAAATGCTGGCCTCAAAGATTACGAGTTTTGATGATGCTGACGATTACGATGATGATAACGTAACGCATCCTGACTACGCATCGGGCATCTCCAACCGGTCGAACGTCACTTTTCAAACGTGTATAAAAAAGATGAGGACGATGACGAAGAAGGTGATGATATCAATCGTGATAATAATCGTGTCCACGCATCTCTTGCATCTCAAATCGGATGATAATCATCACGACCCTCCTCAGCATCACCAGCAGTCATGATGATAAGCATGACTACGCATCGGCTGCATCTCCAATCGGGCCGAACGTCTCTGTGTTGAAACATATACGAAAAAGATGAGGACGGTGAGGAAGAAGGTGAATTATGATGATAATAATCATGTCCACGCATCTCTTGCATCTCACATCGGATGATAATCCTCACGACGCATCCTCAGCATCACCAGCAGTCATGATGATAAGCGTGACTACGCATCGGCTGCATGTCCAATCGAATCGAACGTCACTTTTTGAAACGTATATGAAAAAGATGAGGACGACGACGAAGAAGGTGATGATATCAATCATGATGATAATCATGCCCACGCATCTCCTGCGTCTCAAATCGGATGATAATCATCACGACGCATCCTCAGCATCAGCAGCAGTCATGATGAAAAGCATGACTACGCGACGTCACTTTTGAAACGTATATGAAAAAGATGAGGAGGATGACGAAGAAGGTGATGATGATGAGAATGATGAACAAACCTGGTTTATCCTGCCAGTAGTCATACGCTGGCCTCAAAGATTATGATGGTGATAATAATCATGTCCACGCATCTCTTGCATCTCAAGCCGGATGATAATCATCACGACGCATCCTCAGCATCACCAGCAGTCATGGTGATAAGCGTGATTATGCATCGGCTGCATCTCCAATCGGGCCGAATGTCACTTTTGAAACGTATATGGAAAAGATGAGGACGATGACGAACAAGTTGATGATATCAATCATGATGATAATCATGCCCACGTATCTCTTGCATCCCAAAGCGGATGATAATCATCACGACGCGTCCTCGGCATCACCAGCAGTCATGATGATAAGCATGACTACGCATCGGCTGCATCTCCAATGGGCCGAACGTCAGTTTTGCAACGTGTGTGAAAAAGATGAGGACGATGAGGAAGAAGGTGATGATGATGAGACTGATGAACAAACCTTGGCGATCCTGCCAGTAGTCATATGCTGGCCTCAAAGATTATGATGATGATAATCATGCCCACGCATCTCTTGCATCTCAAATCGGATGATAATCATCACGACGCATCCTCAGCATCACCAGCAGTCATGACGATAAGCGTGACTACGCACAGGCTGCATCTCCAAGCGGGTCGAACGTCACTTTTGAAACGTATATGAAAAGGGTCAGGACGATGACGAAGAAGGTGATGATATGAATCTTGATGATAATCATGTCCACTCTTTTTCATCTCACATCGGATGGTAATCATCACGACGCGTGCTCAGCATCACCAGCAGTCATGATGATAAGCGTGACTACGCATCGGCTGAATATCACTTTTGAAACGTATATGACAAAGATGAGGACGATGACGAAGAAGGTGATGATATCAATCATGATGACAATCATGTCCACGCATCTCTTGCATCTCAAATCGGATGATAATCATCACGACGCATCCTCAGCTTCACCCGCAGTCATGATGATATGCGTGACTACGCATCGGCTGCATCTCCAATCGGGCCGAACGTCACTTTTTGAAACGTATATGAAAAAGATGAGGACGATGACGAAGAAGGTGATGATATCAGTCATGATGATAATCATGTCCACGCGTCTCTTGCATCTCAAATCGGATGATAATCATCACGAGGCATCCTCAGCATCACCAGCAGTCATGATGATAAGCGTGACTACGCACCGGCTGCATTTGAAACGTATATGAAAAAGATGAGGACGATGACGAAGAAGGTGATGATATCAACCATGATGATAATCATGTCCACGCATTTCTTGCATCTCAAACCGGATGATAATCATCACGACGCATCCTCAGCATCACCAGCAGTCATGATGATAAGTATGACTACGCACCGGCTGCATCTCCAATCGGGCCGAACGTCAGTTTTGAAACGTATATGAAAAAGATGAGGACGATGACAAAGAAGGTGATGATATCAATCATGATGATAATCATGTCCACGCATCTCTTGCATCTCAAATCGGATGAGAATCATCACGACGCATCCTCAGCATCACCTGCAGTCATCATGATAAGCATGACTACGCATCGCCTGCATCTCCAATCGGGCCGAATATATGCAAAAGATGAGGACGATGACAAAGAAGGTGATGATATCAATCATGATGACAATCATGTCCACGCATCTCTTGCATCTCAAATCGGATGATAATCATCACGACGCATCCTCAGCTTCACCAGCAGTCATGATGATAAGCGTGACTACGCATCGGCTGCATGTCCAATCGGGGCGAACGTCAGTTTTGAAACGTGTATGAACAGATGAGGACGATGACGAAGAAAGTGATGGACGATGACGAAAAAGGTGATGATGATGAGATGCTGATGATATCCGTGATGAACAAACCTGGTTACTCCTGCCAGTAGACATGCGCTGGCCTCAAAGATTACGATGATGATGACAAAGATTGTCCTGCGAGTAGTTATGCTCATTTTTCCCAGTAGCCTTGGACTTGTACTGCACCACCCTTCCCGTGCGCCTCCCCCTTGGAGAAGAAGGGTTCGGCGGATTAAATACAGGGCCCTGCGGTCGCTTTGGTTTGCGTATAGGACCAAGAAGAATGAGTTTAGAACTGGTACTGTATGATTCAAAAGGTGTGTGAAGTTTGCTGATGTGCTTGCCGCAAGCCTTGTTTGACTGTTTTTTGCCTGACAGGCATTGCTGCGTGGTATTGGGGCTGAGTTGAAAGCTGCCTCACAAGAGACTGCAGGCAGTTTGACCGGAGGAAAGAAAGAGAGAGTGAGAGAGAGAGAGAGAGAGAGAGAGAGAGGCGAGAGCGAGAGAGAGAGAGAGACAGACAAAAATAGACAAAGAACGAGGCGAGTGAAAGTCATTTGCTCTCCATAAGCTTTGCGTGGCGTTGGACTCGAACTATCGCAGCAGGGGCCGCAGCATCCAGGGCAGTGTCTTTCACTTCGTGGTTGGAAAGGACAGGCGGACAAATCCAACAAGCAGCAGGAAACATGGATTGCAACCCTTGCCTTGGGAGGATTGACCCCCTCACTGCCGAGCAATGCTCACAAGAGGCGCGGAGATTAGTTTGGCAATGGTATTGCTTCTGGCGACATTTCTCACAGGTGGCTACACTCCGAACTCTGCAACAAAGGTAAGCGTCAGAGTTGGGATTATTCGCCGCGTTTGGAGCTTACGATGGTTCCGAGCAGTTCCCCAACACATGCTTTGCAAAGCGCCGGACTGTACAGGGCCAAGACGGAAACAAAAGAGGCCAAACAAAAGCCGAAGACACTTGACGTTTCAGAACTTGGGGTGTAGATGCGTGAGCAGTCGCGTTTTGGATGGCTTATGTAATTTTGGCATACTCAGGACTGAATGCCCAGTGTCTCGTGTCGTGCGACTGTCATTCATGTAATTGCTGCAGTTTCCAGGGGCCCGGCGCACGATCAAAGCCCTACATCTTGTTGGAGCCATGGCCTGGCTGAGAGTTTGTTTTCTTGCTCTGGTGGGCGTGGTCAAATCTGTTGACCTTGCCTGCACAGATGCCGAGCCACAGTCGCCCAGGGATGTGACTCCAGGCTACACTGGAGATCTGGCGACCAGGTACGAGCCTTACGGCGAGGAAGAGCGGCGGAACTTTCTGCAGGCAAACCTTCATTTCCACTTGGGCGCTGAGCACAAGAACGTCGGCGAGTACGACCAAGCTCCTCCATCGGGAGATCTTGCGAGCACGGTCGCTCCGGGTCTCTTCTGCAATCCCGACGCCCTTTCTCCTGCGGAGAAGGCACCTTACAACTTCCAGCATTGTAAGAATGTCTCCGTGGGCCTCACCTATGAGTTCCATTGGGTCTTCTCGAGCGGTGCTCCGGGCCAATTGGCGGACGACGGCAGCGAGGGCGAGCTTGGAATCGCTGATGGCTTGGGCGGCGCCTTTGCTCGTACCGTCAACGCGGACGTCGTTGTGCGTGGCCAGGTGTGCCTCATCTATAACAACGCCTCCCTCGACACTGCTGCCAAGATTGAGGCAGACTATGCGGACTTCCTCACGAAGTGGCGCTCGCCGTCAGCCGGCCAGGCGGTAAAGTATGTGGGATCCACCACCGGCTCAAGCTACAACGACAATGTTTGCTCACCGGCCGAGGTGAACTGGCACGTAGACTTGAAGTGCTGCAAGTTGTCAGCTCAGGCCTTTGACAGAACCTGCCAGGCAATGTACGATGAGGGTTTGCGCGAGGACCTTAAGCCCAAGGGCTCGCGCCCACCAGTGGACAGGAGGTGGGTGGCAGACGTGACCTTTCCACTGCAGCCTGTTTGCGAGATTCCATTTCGAGAAGGAAATACGAACTGATGGGCTTGTCCAAAAGAGCTGATCCAAAGTGCCAGAATCATCACTTTGAGGTCACTGGCAGGTCATCTCGTGTTAGCAAGTGCACTGCATGTGACCTCAATGTGACCTCAGTGCTTGTGGTATTGACCAGCCCACTTTCAGATCGCAGCATTTTTGTTGCGTGCCAATGGGCGCGCTAGACTCTATTCTTGAACACTTGACTACATTTCAAGACTTGTAGCTACTATCTGTGGCTCGGATCTGTTGAATTCTGTATAGCTTTGCAGTCTGATACTTCGCCTGTGGCGTAAACCGTCAGACTGGCGATGGCAAGGAGACCGAGCAACCATGCTTGAAAGATTGCTTGCGCGAAATCCTGTAGACAGTGCTGCAAGTGCATGAATCTGCTGAGATGTGCAAGTGTCCCAAAAGCATGGTAGGACAACCACGCAGCCCTGCCGCACTCTGCCAAAAGCACACTCACACACACACAAGCACGCTCAGAAAAAAAACATCGCACTTGGTCCAAGAGTCTGTGCGTGCCAGTGCCACAAAAGACAGGGTTGGCCAGGGTTGATCATCTGCTTTTCTGGTAGCAGAGGTTGGGTGCTTGGATGGCTTGCTTACTCTTGGCCTTTAAACTTTACCACAGAAGCTGTGACACATTACGTTGAAATGGTGCAAATCATACTCTTGAAAATTTGGAACATATATGTGAAATATTAATCCATATAGTAGGACTGTGTGTTGTAATCAACCATAGTTGTAGAATGTTAAGCTAACATATCGAGATGGCGTGGTGCGATGAACTATGTTGAAATGGTGTAAGCGTACTCGTATTATTGACCAGATGAACCGTATTGTGAAATTTTTATGCTGACATATTGAGATGGTGTGTTGCGATGAACTAATAAACATGATTGTAAAAGGTACTGAGCGCGTGGTCAAGAATTCTTGACCACTTGAGTCTATCTCGTTAATTGCGTCTGCCATCAGGCCCTTGCTCCACGTTCTCCGTTCCGGCCTCCTCGTAACCTTCCAAAGGGCACTCATCAGCCAGAACGACTGCCAGGGTATGATGCAAAGTTCTGACAAAAGGCCATTGCACGGATCGTTTCATAAGGTTAGTTTTAAAGATCTGAATGGAAGCAAAACAACCTTGAAATCGTTTGAACCATTAGTCTTATTGTGCATTTGTTGCAGGGTTTTTTGGTCTTTCAATGAGGTCTGGGTTATGTGGGTATGGGTCAACATTCAACCGCCAGAGGACCGCAGGTTTTGTTTCCAAATACTAGGTTCCATTTGAGTACCTATTTTTGACCCACGAGGTCAGCCTCGTGTTACAGGGGGTTCAACCTCATGTGACACTAAGATCAGCATCATGTGGTGAGCAACATGCGTCAATGCCCTGATAAACTTGGTTTTTATCCATCCAACTTGTGCTGGTATTTGGTATCACTAAGTCTAGTAAGTTCGTAGCTTCCGAAGGATTTGGATGGCGCTTGCTAGGCACGCTTGTCCTCTTCATCCAATGTATCAGGCTTAGGACTTTGGACTAATCCACGAATTAACATATATCAATTTTGCTTTGCGTTTGGTGTCAGAATCAACGATCGGACATCCTATCCCTTTCTTTTTGTGCTTTGTTCACGTGATCGTCCCTTTTGACGAGTGTTGCCGCATGAGCATGTGGCTCAAGGATTTTCGGTGCGCCAGCCTTAGTGCGGCAGATTCCATCATCGCAAGGGCAGTTGTACGCTTGTCTTGGTTTGCTTGAGTGCGTCCTCTGAGGGTCGTCTTTTGGTTACGCATGGAGAGGTTTCCCCCCACGCAACACCTCGACACAGCCGCGGGGGCGGTGAAAGAAAAGGCTAAGGGCGGGGATAGTTTAGCCCGAAAAGGCGGAGCGTGCAAAGGGTGGGAGCCGCTTTTTTGGCGCTGGGTGGGAAAGGTAAGGCGGGTGGCCGTGGCGATGAGATTGTTTTAAAGAAGACGTGCTACAGCCAGTTCGACTTCTCTTTGGTGAAGTCTGTCTAAAGCTTCGGTCTCAATCCCACCCGGTGGAAAGGACTTGGGGCTGGCAGCTTTCATGTTGCCAGCTATGTTGCCAAATGGCACTCATCCGCACTTCCCTGAAGGTGTTCAGTGATGCGCGCTCGATCGTTGCATCGTGGTGCTGTCTTCGGTATACACAGAGGAAGCCTGTTATGCTGGCAGAAGACACATGCACCAGTTGACACATAGGCTCACCGACGTGAAAAAAAGAAGCGGATGCTTTACGGCTTCTGCCCACATACTGCCAATAACACCTAGGAGATGTTGGGAACCAGATTTGTAGGGTTTAGGGTTGGGCATTAAGGAGGCTTCTAATGTGGGGTTTAGTGGGGCTTTCCCTAGGTCAAAAGCCCAACCCCCAAACCCTAAGCCCCAAAGTTAAAGGGTTGGGGTTTATAATTTTTAGGGTCCAGGGTTTAGGGCTTAGGGTTTGGATTTTTTGGGTTGTAGGGTTTACGTGTGCGATTTTTTGGGTTTATGGTTTTTTAGGTTTGAGGGTTTCTGGCTTAGGGTTTGGGATTTTTAGGGTTTAGGGCTTAGGGTTTTCAGGTCTTAGGGCTTTGGATTTTAAGGTTTGTGGTTTTTAGGGTTTTGGATTTTAGGGTTTAAGGATACGGTTTGGGTTTTGTAAGGTTTACTCCATGCAAACAAGCACAAAATTGGACAGGGTTCCCAAACCAGGCACTCATGACAAAGCACCAAGTGCCACGAAGTGACAATCATGACATCCAGCAAAGTGGTCAAGTCCGGCAACTTGGGCGCTCTTTGTGTGGAACAAGTCATTGAACTCCTGACAGCAATGTTCTGAGGTTTGTGTGCGCGGCGCGCGCAAAGCGGCTGCATCTTGGGTTGGAACATTCTGTGTCACTTGGGTCAGCAAGCGCTCATTCTCTGCGACCCGCGCGTGCTAAGTTGAATTATCATTGCGCAGAGTCATTGCACAGAGTCATTGCGCAGACAGAGCCATTGCGCAGCGTCATTGCACAGAGAGGAGTCACTGGCGAGGAGCAACGCTCGTGAGAGTCAATGGCGAGGAGCAATGCTCATGAGAGCCACTTGCGAGGAGCAACGCTCGTGAAGTCACTGGCGAGGAGCCATGCTCATGAGCTCTCATGAAGAAAGTCTTGAATTCCTTTCTTCTCTTCTTAGGGCGGGGTAGGGCCGACAGCACTCTACCAAAACCAACCCTCTGCAGGGATCAGCGTGGTCGACGTGGGATATCTGAACACATTTTACGATTTCAGGCATTTGGCACAAGCCAGCCCCGTTTTTGTTCCTCAACCATGGAACCTGCCGCGAAGACTGAGCCCTCGCCAGAGGAATCAGCTACGGTACAGATGACCCCCGAACAAGAGTTTTCATCGAGCACACCCCTGAATCCAAGAAAAGACTTCTTGGCCGCTCTCTCTAACACGCAGTTGGAATGGATGGAGCTCGACCCCTCTTTGTGAAATCAACTGACTATTTCTCAAAAGCCACGGACAACTTCACCTTCTTCCAACTACCAGATATGATGCAGACACTGGCAGCTTCCTGGACATCGACATCCCTAAGAAGAGACCTTTCTCCTTAAAACAATTTCGGGGAACAGACCGTAGGTGAACAGATCGTAAGGCCCCCCAGAGAAAAAAAAACCGACAGAAACCGACAGAAACCGACAAAATCCGACAAAATCCGACAGAAATTGACAGAAATTGAAATTAAATCAATTTTAACCATCTACGGCGCCAGCGATAGAATGAAAATGAGTCATTAACAGCCGCAAAATAGTAA